TGCCCGTCATCGCGCGATTTCGGCCCGCGTGCAAAAAAAAAAAAAAAGAAAAAATAAACAGGGACGAGCGTTTGCGCGGTGCGCAAAGGTGTGTAAGCTCGAAGCACCGTGTAATTTATCGCGGCATTAATTTCGCCAGATTTCACGCTCGAGCGTGTGACTTTATTGCTGCACGGGACTGGGTCATTATGCGGCCGGTCCTCTCTCCAACTTCTCTTTTTAACGCGGTTATACACCGAGGCCGATTCGAGACCTGTATTATACCCGAAGTGGGCCCGTTCCCCCCCGATGGGTTGCGAAATTTACAGATGTGTGTAAGTGTGTGTGTTTCGCGAAGTTTAAAGGGTTAGCTCCGTAAGAGTTGGTTGGGTTAGAGATACGAGTTTGTCGAGTTTCAATGGGAACGTAGATCTCGGGGAATAGGTTGAGAAGGTTAATTATACTCGTATTCACGTTACATTCTTGTGCAGCTAGTAACACGCGCAATTAAATCCGGTAGTAATTTTAACCCTTCAGCAACGAGCGATGTATGTACATAGCATAGATCGGGGCCTCGATTCCTTCGCGTGTCGTCGTATTTGACGTATGAGTGTATCGTGCCAAGAGATACATTTGCAGATATATTTTTTTTTTTGCGAATAACGTGTCGCTGCTTTTTCCAAAACTTCAAACTTATGTCTCTCTCTCTCTATCTCTCTCTTAGAAGCACGGGTGTTTGTCGAACAGAGGAATTTTTGAAATCGAACGTACGAGGTCTCTTTCGCGCATAAATTACAGATCTCTCCTCTCCGTCCAACCGCGCATCGATAAGAAATATATTTATGTAGGCAGTTAAACAAAAAAGGTTGGTCAACAACTTTATCTCTTACGGTCGAGAGATTACGAAAGTTTGATAAACGCGAGCGTGTAATACGCGATTGAAAAAGTATCGTTTCAAAAACTGACCGTAATAACAATCCATCCTCCCCAACATCGGATTCAATACACGTTTCACGCGTCCCAGAAACAACAACGAACAAAATCTCGAAATCTCTACTTTGTAGAACGAATATTCCGACCGATACTCTCCACCAAGGACCAGTGGCTACGAACCGTACAACTTCTTTTCCCAACTTCTTTTCCCAACCTATACCTTTCTCTCCCAACCTAGAGAAAACCTATCCATCCGGCATCCATCTATCGACCCGTCACAATAAACCTTTCTCTCTCTCCCCCAATTATCCGCTCGCAATTAACTCCGCCACCATCTCTATAATGGGACCTATTATACACATATGGCGATCTTTACCCCGACGACGCTGTCGTCGTAAGTAACTTTTCGAAATCGAAAAAAAAAAAAAGAAAGAAAGAAAGAAGAAACAAAAAGAAAGAAAGAAAGAGAGAAAAGAGAGGAACGTAGGCCGTATAATTCCGTCCACGAAACTCGGGCCGGTGCACGATTCCGTGGCATTGTTCGTGGTATGGATCCGCTTGAAGGGGAATCGTGATCGTCCGTCGTCGACTCGGGGGAAAAAAGGGCAGCCGGCCGGACGCGGAGGAGGAGGGGAGATATCGCGAGGCGGAGATTGCAATGCTGCAACGATGTCCGTGCGCATCCAGGCCGAAGGTTAACTCGGCTAACGTTCGGGCAACCACGGAATATAGATGCTCGGTACCGTTCGCCGCTTCATTTCCTTGAGTTATGGTCAATTACGGCTGTCTTATCTCGGCTGGCCTGGGTCCACGACTACCGTCCCCTGGCTGCCGCGGACAGGGATAATCTACTGACGGTCTACCTTCTGAGAAAACGTTCGCTGACTTCGAACAGTGGTCCTCCCCTTTCTGCGTTCGCAGGTGTTCCACTTTCTTTGTATACGGAACTGAATAGAATATTTTTTCTTTTTTTTCTTGGGAGACAATAATTTGATTTGCGGCCTTTTTGAGGTGTTGGAATGAGAGGATTTTATCGTGTAAGTTTCTTTCTTGAAGAGATTGTTCGAAGCTTGGAATTAAAGTAATAATTTTCCAACCCATTTGTGCCCAATCGTTCGATATTTGATAATTGTCAATTATTTTAACTAGGAGATAATCGGAGAATATTATTCTCAAGTTACAACAAAATATATACACACATCTCACAATAGTTTCGTTTTTACTCTGCGTAATCTGACGCTGGAACGAAGAAAAAAAAAAAAGAAATACACATCTCTCCCTCATCCATAAGCTGTACCATATCTTATTACGGAACGATTCTTGAACACCGCTGGCCGACCGCTCGTTTCCTAATCCACTTGCATGCACCACGGCTGAATTTTCGTCACGCTTCCGCGATCGTGGCGAACGTTCGAAACGAGATTGCAACGCGAGCCGCGATTCGCTTCAATTTCGTTCGAAGCGTTCGAGCCAATCGAGATCCTTGTCCCAGCTACGGTTTCGTGTCTGCCAGCCGTTCGAGCGCGTGTCGTTCGAGCGTAATGAACGGCTGTACGCCAACTTTTCCGTCCAACAACAAACTTTGTTTATTGGGAATTACATTACGGAAATGACGCGCGCCCGTTGCGAATCCGAGCCTCGAATCCAACAATCGTTCCGCTTGCCCACGTTACGCCCGTTGACTCGCTCGCTCAAACTTCCTTATCGAAGGGATTACGCGCGCGACCGCTTACGAGAGCGAACGTGGAGGATGTTTGGATGCCCAGAAAGCGGAGATTTTTACGAATCTATATATATATATATTTCTGATTTTTGAACTTTTTATTTAGCGAGCGAAACTTTGTTACTGACTGGATAAAGGTTTTATTTCGAATAGCGACTCTCTTGAAAAGAATAGATAGTTTCTTACAGAGGGTTTTTCCACGGGAAGTTTTGCCACTCGGAGCATGGAACGAGTTCGAAATTGCGCGGATGGAACGTGGAGGATACACGGGTTTCGAATCGTTACTTCGGGCAGAGGTAGAACTTGAATTCATCTCGTCGATAAGTTTCGAAGTTATCGTTGATGGTATATCGTTCCGCTGACGTTTGATCGGCGTCTAGAAGCTAGCTAGCTAGCTTCATCAACGGGCTCGCGCTGATATTGATGCGTGTTTTACGCTTAATCATTTATTTCAGGATATCTATGCGCGCTTCACGGATCATTGATCACCAAGTCGGGGCCTTTAATTGGCTTGATCAATTAAAAATGGTAGGAGATCGACCGGGATAGCGTTTAAATAATGACTCGCGCATTCGTAGCTGTTATTAAGATGTTTCATTAGTTTCGTTGCATTTTTCGCTCGACCGTCGTTTCTGCGCTCTCCCGGTTTAATTAATTGAAAAGTGATTTGTATCTCTTGGTATTTTTCTAATATCGTATCACCGCGCAATAAAATTTGCATTATACTAGCCCCGCGTTTCTTAAATCATTCGCAATTTCATCTCTCGTGAAAATTCTCTTTTCGGTGGAAATTTACTTTTAAAATTTTTATATGAAATATCTATGCATATTTTTTTTTTCTTTTCACAAAAATCTTACGTTTACAATCATTTTCCAACATCTTTCCTTCACCTCACAGCTTCCCACGAATCCCTTCCGCAACACTTAACCGAGACGATCCTCCTTTTCTCGCGTGTTTGCAACAATCTTGGAACGGAAAACGAGCGGAACCCAACAATATACTTAAACGATGCAGCCATAGTGAACTGTGGTCGAAGGGAAACAGTACCTGTAACGTGAGTTTTCACAACTCGTTACTCGTAGGATAGGTTACGATCGATCCCCAACGGGCAGAATTTGCATTTCCACGCATTGCCAATAACACGGGGTGTCCATGGGCTCACTTACTCGATCCGTCATGCGCCCAAGTTTGACGCATCGCAATGAATTCTCGCGTTGAATCGTTGAAATTAATCCCGCGTAAGCGGTTACTACCGTTAATCACACCAGATTTAACACCCTGTGAACAGGAACACTTTGACTCGAACGCCAAACCAATTCCCGTGTCTCCAGAGTTAAAATCAATCTAAAATTAGCTCTTCTTATCTCTGTTCAAAAAAATCGGTCTAAATTCTCAAACACGTCGAGAATTCGATCGCAAGTGTAACAATTTCGATGAAACGCCGCGATCGCGTTCCATTTGGCCCGATTCGAAAGAGAGAGAGAGAGAAAAGTAAAGAACATACGAATGAGTAATCGTTTCCCTGTACCGTCGATACGTCACACTCGGAATGTGAAGTACACGGTGGACTGTCATGCGCGAGTTATAGATGGATTCTGGTGCAGACCGATGTCGGTGCAGAGGAGGAAATCTCGTCGTACTTATTTTTCGCGCGATCGATTTATACAGTTCAACCTTGCGACGCGACATCCGTGACAGCCTCGTTGCTCACGACACACGTCGTATTGTCCACCGTTCCACCGCCACTTAATCTTGTTCTACCCTTCGAGAATCTCTCTCCCTCTTTGTCTTTCTCTCTCTCTCTCTCCGTCCCCTCCGTCCTTCTTCCTCCCCAAGTCGAAATGGTCGCTCGAATTTGTTGGCCGTCCGTACCGTTTAATTTCTCTAGCCACCGGAACTGGGGGGACGTGAGACGCGAATCGCGGTCAACGTCAGTCGCGGTTGTCAAGGATCTCGTGCGCGGAGAAACGGTGCTGTGTCGTCTTCTGTTTGTATTCTTTCGAGATTATTACTACCGTTAGCATGGTTTTCCGGATTGGATGGGTTTCGCGTTATGAAAAGGTGAGGTGAAGGGAGCGAAGTTTTAATTTTTAACCTCGCTACGAGGGGGAGGTAGTTAGTTAGGCGCGATTTTATAGGATAAGATGTCGACAAATTATTAACTTTAAGATTAAATAGTTTAAAAAAAGGATACGATGAAAAGGATTTTTAGTACAAAAGAGAAGAGGAGGATTGTTTTGCAAATTTCAATGATTTTGTTAGATCCTCCTCCCTTGATCGTAACTCTGTTCCCGTAATAACGTTAATGAATTATTTGTCGTATAAAAATAGTGTTCTTCTTCGAGTAAGAAGAATCATCGTTTCTTTCGTACAAGTTAGATGAGAGGGGTCTTAATCATACGGTTTACAAGATGCATTAAACGCGAATACGATGTTCAAATTGGTAATCGATACTGTTATAGTTTAACTTGGAGCAAGTCGGTCCTTTCTCTCTGGATAATTAGAATCGAAAGGGTGGGAGGGCGTGTTGAACCCTTTTTGTTATTAAATAAACAAACGTCCTTCGAAGTAATCACTGACATTATTTAAATTACACATCTGGTGTGCATCGAAATTGCAGAACGAAATAGTCTACCGGAGATAATAACTACTGACTTTGTGTTTAATAAACGAAACCATTATAACAATTGAACACTGCAGAGAGGGTTTACATATCGGGATCATCGATACGAATAGAGAAGAAATAGAACGTGCGATCTCGACGCCTCTTCTTCTTTTTTCTCTCTCCCTTTTTTTTCTTCTTTCCATCAATTATTCGGTTTTCGACATCGTTTCGTATTGGCAGAAAAAATCTAGGTCGCGATAATTTCTTAATTGGATTCTCATTCATTTCTTCCTATGCAAAACAGCGCTCGTTAAGGCGCAATATTCATGGCCCTCCGTCAGATCTGTTTTGTTGTCTCTTAGTTCTTCTTAATCTGAGAGCCAGAAAACACATCGAAAGGGAAGAGGCAAGGGTGTCGCGTTACATGGAACGTTGTTAACTCGGTGAAATATCGTGTGTATTAATTTTTATACCGCGGCTAACGCGGCACGGAGAGCACAGTGGAAAAAACTGGTTTGGTTCTCGCGCGCCACTTTCTGCGCGCGCAGATAAATCGAAGTCACCGCGACACGGCCTAAGGTTTAAATTCATTACGCGCGTTTCGCGTGACGAAGATACGAGACTTCTTTCTCTTTTTTTTTTTCAAAAACTTTTCAAAAACTTGTTTTTCCATCCTTTTTACCTTATTTTCTTTATTCGTAATCGTATCATCAAAAAAAAAAAAAAAGAAAGAAAGAAAAAGAAAAAGAAAAAAGCGATCGTAAAATTTTAAGTTCTCTTGATTTTTTTTTTATTTTTATTTTTTTTTTTTTTTGGATTAAATGAAAAAAAATAGAAATAGAAGTAGAATATTTATTCCCATAAATTCTATTGTTTCCGGATTAATCATCAACTCCGTTAGATTTATTTTATTCGTAACGTTTTGCAAATATACCATTTGTAAAGTCGTAACGAGATAAATAGTCAATTTTCCGGTTCCTTCATAAACATCTAACTTCTTCGACGCACGTCCATTCCCTCGAACGTTTCATTTAAAACTTACACGATTTAAAAGAACGTTTACTGCTCGTTTCACGCTATTCCATTTGCAATCTTTCCAAACAACATTGAAAACGCTACGTGACGCAAATCTTTCTTCCTATCGTTCGACAATAATCCTCTCGGAATAAAAGACGAAACGACAGTCATAATCCAATCCGTTTTTATCCCAAAATAAGCTATCAATTTTAATACCTATCTTAAAGGAACGCGTAGAAACCTTACGAGAAAAAAAGGCCATTGAGCGGAATTATTTAACAGTGTGTTGAATCATAAAACGCTGGAACGACGCAAGAAACGATCGGTGATCTTGCGATGATCCAGCTTCTTTTCGTGACACACTAACTTAACGTTCCCTCCCCCACTCTCTTCCAGCGTGTATTTAACGCATCCGTTCTTAGCTTAATCGCTCGAGGCAGCAGAAACGGACGGAAAAATCCGAAATAAAACGAGGCCGTATCCGCAAAAAGTACACGCACCAATCTCGTCCACACGTAAACGCATTACGCTAATTAATAAAAAGCTTTAATATTCTATTCCATCCGTACGAACAGCTTTACGACCGTGCTAACTCTCCCCTTTTATTACGCCATCCTCCGTTCTCTGTAGCGTTTCCTCTGACTCCTCGAACTCGCGTTTTCTATGCAATCATAGTCGCGAAGAAGTTTCGAGATCCTCTCGTCGTCGAATCGGGACGACGAGTATAATACAATATAATATAATACAATCTATGAAATTCGTGCGATTAACGCGCGATGAGTTTTCAAGGAACGACCCTAGCTATTCCATGGAAACATGACACGGAATGATCTAAAATAAGCGGACAATAAAGAACCGGATAATCTGGATATATCTCCGGTGTCCTCGATGCAAACGAGAAACCTTGGTTACTAAAAACAGACGCGCGCCTTGTTTCGCGAATACCAGAGGTCTGTGCATTTCGTAGAGATTCCGGATTACGTCCGGGATCTCGTGGACCAGGAATCTTGGGGATTCGTCACAGGGATCTGAATCTACGTAAATCTTCCCTAATTTCCCCCTCCCTCCGACCAGAGCTTTAGACTATCCCTCTTAATTCCTGTTCCTTCGTTTTATTTTTTCCAAAGACGATGAAGAAATTGGTGCAGGAAATTTTTTTCGTAATTTCGACGACGAGAGATAGAGAATTAGAAATAGAAATTTCATTATTTAGAACAAGAAAGTATATTGCGAGGATTTTATTATTATTTTACGCGAATAATATAAGTTAACGAAGACGAGAGTGATGAGAAATTAGAACAGATGGGCGTGCTCGTTGAACCGTGGCGAAGTATGCCAGGCCGGCTGGCCAGTTCGAATAGAGCCCCTACCTCTTTCCAAGAATTATAATTTCTCGCTGACAAGAGCGGCGGTTGATCGTGAAACACCTGTTGTACTCTCGGGTTGCGCACGGGATAAAATACAGAGATTCTTGGAAGAAGATAAAATTCACGCGATACGAACGGAAGAATTTTTCGAAAATTCCAATCGAAAAACCACTGCTCTCGAATTTAAATTCGTTCACCGAGAAAAAAAAAAGAAAAGAAAGAAGGCGTCGGATATCTCGCCCCGAACGACATTGACGCGAACGACATTGAACAGGTGAGGCAGCAAGCCTCATCCACGTCGAGAAACGAGTAAAAAGAGATACCTGACTACTGCGAAGGTTAAATCCGTCCCACTAATTGGACCAACCGAAACAGGCTCTCGTATGAGCCTCCGAACATCCAGTGTCCAGTTATCCGATATCGATTAACAGAAGGAGAAGGAGGATCATCTCGGCGCCTGGAGCCATTAACCCGGCCTGTTCGAGTGTTCCGTGACTCGTCAAACGCGCACGATAGATATCGATCCGCTTCTCTCCCTCTCTTTTTCCCCTTTCTTTTCCTTTTTTCGATCGGTGACCAAGTTGAAGCGCCACACCAAGGGCCCGCGAATTTTAACTCGCGAATTAAGGGAGGGGAGACTTGGACAGAGAGATGGAAAGCGTACGAGAGAAAAAGAAAAAGAGAAGGGTGGTCTGGCAGCTGGTCGTTCCATCTGGTTTTATTGTACGAGACGGTGGTGGTGGTGGTGGTGGTAGACAGGCGAGCAGCAGTTTCGTTTCGCCGGCAAAGCGAAGAATCGCCAAGGGTCGCGCGCATACGCACAAAGCCATATGTCATGTCGGCCCGGTTTAATGGCCTTTTAATACTACCTCACGAGCGGCACGTATCCCCACCCGCAAGGTGGTACCTTTGAATAGGCGCCTCGGAGGTGCGTCTATAAAGGGCCGACTATGCTCGACACGGAAAGTCGTGCCGTCGAGCACCACTCTCGCCAACCCTCTTCGGATTCCTGAGCGTCTGTGTCATCGATCCGGATCCTCGTAAACGTAAGAGGCGTTAAACGAG